AATCTATTGGAAGTGTCAGATTATAGTAGACATGTTGAAGTTGAAATCCCGAGGAAGACTACAACCGACAAAATCATAAAAAGTTTTTACAAGATGCTCGAAACACATAGTTAACCATTACATATTTTAATCGATAATGGACCTCAATTCATCAGTATGAAATTCAAAGTTTTCGTGGAACAGAATGACACAGAGCATAGGCGAGTGATTCTGTTTTGACCAAAGGAAAAGCAAATTAAACAGTCAATACTTATATATATTTCTATGTAAAACTTGGATTCCCTATTGTTGCCCCTTCCCTGGCCCCGGGGTCATGATTTGAATGATTTCCAATCTAAACTACACCAGGATGTTTCCTCCCTTGGATTCCCTGTGTATGGCCCCCGGGACCATGATTTTCACAATTTAGAATCCACACTACATCAGCAGGCTTCCATAAAAGTTTAAGCTTTCCTAGCTCAGTGGTTCATGAGAAGAAGATTTTTTAATGATCCCATTCCCGACGGAACTTAGATAGTAAAACCCTACCAAAGATTCGCCTATTCTCGTTTCATTTGACAAACTCCTGTAACAAACACGTTTTCAGTATATGCTGAATAAATATTGCTTATATATTATTTAAATCAACAAACACAATTCATTGGCGTCAAGAAATAAACCGAACCCTTAACATTTTTAATCAGGAAAAAGTGACATATTTTTCTGCTTCAAGTAGATCGACTCATTGTACATGTATTACATTTATAATTCTTTATCGCTTATAATTTATAAAGGAGCACACGGTGTGTGTGACCGGTCAGCAGGGGACGCTCACTCCTCTATGGCACTTGATCCCACCCTTGAAGATTTTTTTGTTCTGCTCCTATTTTGTATTGTTTTATGGACCTTTGATCTTGAATACTATTCTTTATCTCCTTATGTTTCATTTAAAAAAAATACAATGTTTTGAAGATCTGGATATATATAACATTTATTCATGTTTCTTGATAATATATTCTGGATATGATATATCCCTATATACATGTAATCTGACTCATGATATTGAGGAACCTAAACGAAATAATACTGTATTTTGTGAAATCTGACATTTTTACGAGCATTTTCATTTTCTATGAATTTCGAGCCTGTCGAACAAACTTTTTAAATTCTTCCTTCTACATACTGACAAGCAATAAATAAAATATGCACTACTTAAACATATGGTTAAATATTGAAAAAATTGGAAATTTTGTAATACTTGCTTGACTGCAAAAAGTTATAAAATATTGATTGGTTATGATTTACCTTAGTGTGACAATATACACAAATAATATACATTTATATATGCAATAATTATATAAATTGTTGTTTCCATTATCTTGAAATATTTACTCGCTTCAAAACACCTTTTTGTTATTCTTGTTTCATGAACTTGCTTATCAATAATTCAACTCGTTTTAGAAATTGTTCATACGTGGAGCAAGCTCTTTTTCCATCTACAAGTGTAAAAAAAAGGCAATTTTTGCCTTTATAAATGCATTTTTATAAATCTTATTTCAAACTTAATGTCAAGCGGATTGATACGTTTTCAATCTCAGTCATTGAAACGTAGGCAACACATCCAATGTAAATTAGTTTTTCTGTCTACTTAAATGGTACAACCAGAATTATTATATACATATAAACAAACATATAAATATAAGCGTTAATTTTGGTAGCTATTCAAGTGTTTGTTGCATTTTGTTTATTTAACTTTTTCAGTTGATATATTATTTGTATCATTTATGATTCTACATGGATATGATGAAGTGATGTATTAATAATTTACAAAATTCAAATGCAGCTAAAGATTTTTCTATGAATTTGACGTATGCACTTGTTCATGCACTAATACTTTGGACATTTATATTATAACACCATATGTATATGGTATATACATGTACTTCCTAACATATAAAGTAAGCAGATGGTACAACTAACACGCGAATGTGTTATTTTCCTTAATATTGAAATGTTCAATCTCGTACATGTGTTTTAATTAAGCAGGTGTTCTTTTAAAAGAAGAATTTTCCTCTAAATGTACACGACTCGTGTTCTTTTAATGGGTTTTCAAATAAATGCAATTATTTACTAATACGATAATAAGGACCACCTTACGGCCCCTGGTAAATTGACAAAAAATTAAATTTCCAAATTTTATTCTAAAAGGAACATACGGTTAAAAACCAGGATGAATTTTGCTATCAAATAGTCTAAAAATATTTTCAGTATATTTCACAAAATTATACACAATACGAACTTTCGACACTATTGAAAAAGAGTCATTTTCCTTTCCTCTTGATTGAAATAACCAAAATAATTGTAAAATTCATATAATTCGTTTTAGAATACCATAGTTTTGTCATCTGCTCCTTTGAATCAAAATAATAATAATTCTAATTATATTTGCATTATCTAATTGCAATTTACATCAAGGGGCTAAAGATATCTGTCATATCTGGAATCTTAGACGAATCCGTCTCTCCGATTTTTGAGAATGGAACTTGTGTTACAAAAAAAATGAAAACAAAAAGAAAAAAATGGAAATTAGATAGTAAAAACCTACCAAAGATTCGCCTGTTTTCGTTTAATTTGACAAACTCCTGTAACAAACACGTTTTCAGTATATGCTAAATAAATTTTTTATATATTATTAGAATCAACAAACACATTTCATTGGCGTCAAGAACTAAATCAAACCCTAAACATTTTTTAATCAGGAAAAAGTGACATATTTTTCTGCTTCAAGTAGATCGACTCATTGTATTACATTTATAATTCTTTATCGTTTATAATTTATAAAGGAGCATACGGTGTGTGTGACCGGTCAGCAGGGGATGCTCACTCCTCCATGGCACCTGATCCCACCCCTGATGATTTGTTTGTTCTGCTCCTATTTTGTATTGTTTTATGGACCTTTGATCTTGAATACTGTTTTTTATCTCCATATGTTTCATTTAAAAAAATACAATGTTTTTAAGATCTGGATATATAAAATTTATTCATGTTTCTTGATGATATATTTTGGATATGATATATCCCTATATACATGTAATATGACTCATTATAATGAGGAACCTAAACGAAATAATATTGTATTTTGTGAAATCTGACATTTTAACGAGCATTTTCATTTTCTATGAATTTCGAGCCTGTCGAACAAACTTTTTAAATTCTTCCTTCTACATACTGACAAGCAATAAATAAAATATGCACTACTTAAACATATGGTTACATATTGAACAAGAGGCCCATGGGCCACATCGCTCACCTGAGTAACTTGGGTGATGCAGTTCTTACCAGATTCCCCCTTTTGCTATACCTATCATGCCAAACTACCCCCTTCCCTTTTATGATTTTAAGAATTTAATATCTACACTACCCAAGGATGCTTCCATATAATGTTTAGCTTTCCTGGCCCAGTGGTTCTTGAGAAGAAGATTTTTAAAGATTTGTTCTATATGTTTCAATGTAAAAATTAGATTCCCTATTGTGGCCCCGCCCTACTCCCGGGAGTCATGATTTTAACAATTTAATATCTACACTACCGAAGGATGCTTCCACATAAGTTTCAGCTTTCTTGGCCCAGTGGTTCTTGGAAAGAAGTTTTTTAAAGATTTGCTCCATATATTTATATGAAAAACTTGGATTCCCTATTGTGGCCCCGCCCTACCCCCGGGAGTCATGATTTTTACAATTTAATATCAACACTACCCAAGGATGCTTTCACATAAGTTTCAGCTTTCCTGGCCCAGTGGTTCTTGAGGAGAAGATTTTTTAGTGACCCTACCCTATTTTTGTCTTTTCTTGATTATTTCCCCTTGTAAGAGGACTTGGTCCTTTTAACAATTTTAAAATTCCCTTTACCAAAGGATGCTTTGTACCAAGTTTGGTTAAAATTGGCCCATTGGTTCTTGAGAAGAAGTCGAAAATGTGAAAAGTTTACAGACGGACGGACGGACAGACGGACAAAATGTGATCAGAAAAGCTCACTTGAGCCTTCGGCTCAGTTGAGCTAAAAAAATACTAGCTTGACTGCAAAAAGTTATAAAATATTGACTGGTTATGATTTACCTTAGTATGACAATATACACAAATTATAACAATTTAAATATGCAATTATTACATAAATTAGTGTTTCCATTATCTTGAAATATTTACTTGCTTCAAAACACCTTTTTAAATGATAGCATATACTAGCAATAAGCCCGACAATAATTTATTATATATGTACATTAATGTGCATGATTCAGCATTTTTACAAGAATAAATCTATGTTTAGATATGTCAACCACATGTTCATTTATATATTAAATATATTTTACCTATTAGCTGTTCAATCTCTAGAGATCTGCAATTAATTCATCGGCGATTGATTCTGCTTAAGAAAGATTTAAAATACATATAACAATTAAAATTCATAGTATGCATAGTTTCCATTTAAAATTGATTCCTTGAAAACAATTAAATATTAAAAATCATATCATCAAAAAGTTGATGAATTTGAATATGAAAAATAAAACAATTAGAAGAATTTGAATATTCTGTGCCTTGAATTTGAGTTGAGTATGTAAATGTGATAAATAATGAAACATACATGCATTAATATGTTTTCACCAGAAAAAATTTTCACGACTCATTCCTGTGTTTATTTCCCTTAAAAAACGCACTTGCCCAAAATTGTTTCGCACTACATTTTTAATGATATACACTGTATAATCCTTAGAAAATCACATATCTCAAAATGTTTTTTGGAGATGCATGTTCTCCATATTATCTAAAAGAGAATGCATAAAATTGTATCCTCTTAAAAGGTTAAAGACAATATGGGAAAACACACACGTTCAAGACGTCTTTATAAGCACTTAGTAGGTCATCTGAGTTTTTAAAATATGCACAAATCTATGATAGTACTAATTTAGAGTCTTTTTTAGCCCTTCACTTTTTACTTTGGTCACCCTAACTATTGTGCAATCTCAACCCAATTACTTTGTTTCCTTTTTCGAATCTCTGAATGTTGAAAACATTGGGTGTGATTCCTCTACTGGCCTGCTTCCGCTTATTTTTGAACTTCGAAACAAACGAGTATAAAAACTTCCTCTGGAATATTCGTTCCAGCCACCATTGACATGAGATCTTCGTTTTGAGGTTGTATCATAAACCCCTTCAGACAGATCTTTATATGGGTTCTCATCGAATTCTTCCTCTGGAATTGTGGCATATACGTTATCAATACTACAGATTGTCTTTCTGGAGACAGGTCGACCGTCATTTTCTTTACTGCGTCTTTTCGTGTTGCTTCTGTAGAACAGAAGAGAATCTCTTGTAGAAATGGAAGAAATCTCAAGTATTTTATTGTTGAATCCTTTATTTTTCTTTCTATCTTACATTGACAAGAACAGTTGCTACAATGCGAAGGAAATATGATTGATTTTATTGTGTTTCTTACTTATTCTGTCTAAATCGCTTGACTGCTAGAATTCCCACAATAATTATCGTCACTTCCACCACTCCGATTCCCACCATCAGAATCACTGTTTAAACAATGCAAGAAATATAAAGCTTCCTACATAGACTCATTTTATCTTATTTAGTCATTTTACAACAATTGTAAACAAACTCAGGTATTTGAATTATTTCAAAAGGCTAATAACAATTAAATAAATAGTCTTTTTCTTTATATCATAAGGGTTATATTACTAGAAATCTTGTTTGATTAATTGACATAAAAAACTGTTTTTTTATGAATGAAACATAAAGCAGCAGAAATGGTGTTAGAGAAGGTTTTTTTCTATAAACAGTTAAGAATCTTAATTTTCAAACCCATTTCTCGACTAGGAGCAGACGTTGTGGGTTTCGTTGACGATACCGCATTTATTGTTGTACTGGATGAGTTCGGTATTTCTGAATTTATTGAATGTTGTGTGTCTGAAATCAAAGTCGAGATAAATATTGATTGCTCTTGTTTAAATAGAGGATATTCAATGTTTTGTTGATAATGGAATTTATTGAATTCACGTGTGGGACAGGCTAATCGCACTCGTAAAAATATAAAAAAAAATCGTGTTTCACGAGTGAAATAAATTCCATATTCAACTACAAAACATTGAATTTTCTGTTTATTACATTTTCTTTAAATTTCCCTTTGCGTATTTGTCTTCTTGTAATACAGTCACAGGCTACATGACGTCATAGTTGAGCGGTTGATACGTCATAGCTAAGTGATGCGAGATTGAAAACATTGTAAACATGGATTTCAGACATAGTTTGGGGGGATTTTGGCAGTCTTATTCTCTGTTAGAATGGTTCAAGTACACTTTCTCTACATATATTATTATAACAGTCCGAGGAATATTTTTACAACAATCTTCGTTATTGGAAGGTAAATCGAGAGTTTTACCGCGCTTCTGATATTTTTCTCACTGTGAAAGGATATCATTTTTATTTAAATGAATAAATTACAGTATTTCACTTTTGAAAATGTAATAATACCGGGTATATGTATACAGAAATACTATAAAATCTTTCAAAACTCCTGCTTTGAAGGAAAGAACAAGGTTCCATCAAATTAATCAAAGGTTAAGTAGACACTTATCCACTTACTGTACTTGAGTTCTGAGGAAATGATTGCTTCGAGGAACTCAGAACTCTAAGTCAAATCACTTGACTCACAATACAAAATTTAGATTTATATTTGTCGAATCTACATTTCAAATTGAACTCTTGATAAAAGACACTACAGAATCTGACACCTCTTTTACATATAAAAATTTGTTACTGAATATAAACGTTAACTATAATCAAGTTAAATACCAGGAGAAGCTTCTGACAAGCTTAAATAGCTTTCAACAATCTCGTTTAAAGAAGGGTTTTTTATCTTTCTAAAGAGAGTTAAGAATTTTAACTTTCAAACCCGTTTCTCGACTGAGAACAAACGTTGTGGTTTCTGTTGAGGTTACAGCATTCAGAAATGTGCTTGATGAATTTGGTATTTCTGAATTTGTCGTATTTTGTGAGCCTGAAAGCAAAACAAGAGACTTTTGATTGCACTTGTATAATACCGGGTACATATATACATAAATCTTATACATGTAAAATGTTTCAAAATGCTTTTAAGGAAAAAAACAGGTTCTATCATGTAATTCAAAGGTTACGTAGACACTTATCCACTAAATGTACTTGATGTCTGAGGAAATGATTGCATCGAGAAACTCGGAACTCAGTGTCAAATCATTTGACTCATAAGGTAACATTTAGATTTATATATGCCTTTCTACATTTTTAATTGAACTCTTGATAAAAGACACTACAGAATCTGACACATCTTTTTCATAAAGAGATTTGTTACTGAATATTATAAACGTTAATGATCATCAATTTGTAAACCAAGACAAGCTGCTGAGAAGTAAATGATCTTAAATGACCCTGTTTAAAGTCGGGTTTTAAACAAAATCTAAGCTTGTTGTTATGACCCTTCTTTGGTTAAAATTTTGTCAGGCATGCTACAGGCCGTTTGTTATTTCAATGCTTTAATACTTTTGCCTACGGAGTGATCAATCTGAATCATACATAAACAAAATAAACATAAATCTCACGGCGGGTGTGACAGGTCAACAGGAGATGTTTACTCCTCCTAGGCACCTGATCCAACATCTTGTTTTCCAACAGTCTGTGTGTTTTTTTTTTAATTTTTCATGACTAGTTTCCTTTCGTTAATTTATGAGACTGATCTTTCTCTCTTCATTATCTGATGTCTTAAGCGATTACACTAAGCTCTTGATTTGCATTCTTTAAGTGGAATTTGAACATGATTACTGTTCATTATATTCATTTTTTCACATCAAGTTAAAAATTGAATTGTTTTTTACTCATTCGAAATCTTTATTCTTAAAAAAAAAACAATTTAAATTCATTCTTTATGTCTTATTTGAACACGCCATACTGTAAAACGAGAAAAAAATTGCTCATACGTATTTTAGCGCAAATGCAAGTGGGAACGCATTGGCGCATATAAATTTTAGCGCTTGCACTTGTCATTAAAATAATTATGTTAATGTGATATTCTTTCTTTTATCTACGCCTGTACTTGACTTTTTGGTTATTCAAGCACGAAAACACAATAGCACTCCCGTATATAAGTAAACATCCGTCAACTTTACCGTGGTAATGCAATCATGTGACACAATGTTAAATTTAATTTTAATTTATTTTTATAAAAGAAATGGAATACTTATTCATTTTAAAACAATACATACATCGAAAGAATTTCTTTATGACATTATCATATGACATTAAACTTGACTTTCTCTCATTATTGTATCTTTACTGAATTTATAACAGTTTATGTGACCACTTTTCATCACATAGTTTCATCGTGAGAAGCTGGGAAACAAATGAGCAGGTGGATGCCAATGATAAAATAATTATATAATGGGCATCAAAGATGGGTACCCTCCTTGCTAACAAAAATTATAACAACTTATGTACTGTTTGCCAAATTTCAACAAATAATATTTGATGATGTATGATTGACTTTAAGGCACATAGCAAATTTGACAGACATTATATCGGGAGTAGTTTACACTGTTTTTAAGAAACATTTGACAGAAAAAAAGCTTTGTACTCAAAGGTCATCCTATATTTTGAAAAATGAGTGAAAACGACAGCGTGTACGAATTAAAGTCTTAACAATTATTTTAAAATATCAGTCATTGTAGTTACGCACATTTGTTTTATATTTAAACAGATATTGGTTCATGAATATATTGCTTCAAACCCTCAAAACAATATTTACCATAGATGTACTTGATAAAAAAGGCGAAGGTCTGAGAAGAGCAAAGGTATGCAAGAGCACAAAGATAGATTTATATGCAATATTCTTAAATGTTAGTGGTATTGTTGTTCAAATTCGTATTCGGAGAGACAGTTTAATATCTGGAGGAGTCTAGAAAGCAATTTTTTGCAAAAAAATTGAAAGGTTTATTAGAGGAAGGACCTAGAATCAGGAATCCACTACAATGAATTTCTTCAAGACAGCGTCCATGCAAACCTGCATATCCTGAAGAGTAAAGGGATTTTCGGGATAAACAGAAAGTTATATGTTTTTCACATTAACAATATTTGCCAGATCTTTGACTTTTTGACTTGTTTCTATTTCCAAACTGAAAAAAACACCTTTCAGAAGGAAAAAAGAAGTCCAGGAAGTCATTGGATCTGTCATTTTCCAGTATACTAAGGGTCATACCCAAAAATGAGTTCTAAAACAATCAGAAACTGGATAAAAAATGTTCTGGACATGCGTTTGAATTAAAAGAGATTAATAAGTAAAATCATGAAGACCTAATCATTGAAAATTAAGCGTCGTTTGCTTCTTTCTGAGCACCGAGGACATTATTTATTGAACAGCCCTCGTAAGTATCAGGTAACAGCAAATAATACTTTAATCTATCATATTATAAATTGGCAGAACTTCATCGACCGATCCTACCATGTACAGTGCTAGGTAGTAAGTGTATAAAATTAAACGACCCTTCGATATTACGTAATCGCGCGTTCCAGTTAACATACTCTTGAACACGCACAAATAATAATATTTAGATATCCATTAGCGCACGATAAATGTTAGCGTTTAGGGGTTCTTGCGCCAAAGGCACTAAAATGAGTTGTGCGCAAAATCTTCTCGTTTTACAGAACATATTTAAATTAACTTGAATAAAAAATATCACTTTAAAAATCTTGCATTTTGTTAAACAAAAACTTTTCGATTATTTTTAAAATGTTTATATTTTTGACAAACTTCTAAGAATGTCAACTTATCAAAAGACTGTACCACAAATAATTATTTTCATTTCATTCATAATCTCTATGTCTTGAAAGTTTTCGTAAGATTAGAAAATTTTATAAATAAAAATCAAAATTAGAAATACAAACTGTATTCCATTTCAAAATTCAATTTGTAAATACAATTTAAGGAGCAGAGGAAACACGGACCTCCTAAAAAGAGGTAAGATCATGTGCAGGGTTGGGGTTTAAGTATCCTTTGTCGAACGATCCCACCCCTCGTAAGCTCCTTGTCATGATCGGGAAATGAAAAATATGTGGAGATAACGAACAGTTTTCAAGCTCAAGAGCCCATAAAACAATACAAAAAAGAGCAGAGCAAACACAGACCTCCGAAACATTAGAGGTGGACTAAGATGCCATATGGAGGAGTGATCATCTCCTGCCGACTGGTCACACCTGCCGTGTGCTCTTTGTCATGGTCAGAAGATAACGTAAAAATCCGTTGTCAATTCAGGGTGAAAATTATGTACTAACAATAGATATAAAAAAGTATCTGTCAGTAATTGATCCAATGATAAATTGGATTTGCTGACAAGGATATTGTACATGTATCCACTTACGAAATGATGACCTAGAGAGCTGAGCTGTGCTATCTTTTATATTGAGCTCACCGGGATAAATCGTATCGACATAAGAATCTGGAAATAATTATAATGATTGTTAATTGACAACACATTGTCAATATATGTAAATGTCGAATTGGAGGCCACAACAAGTGTTACCTTTTTTCACGAAAAAAAAAAGAAAAAGCACTGTCAACAATTCACTATGTTAATGATGACCTAACATTTTTTTTTAAAAACCCAATTAGCATATTATGATTGTATGTGCTGATGAGGTCATTATTTTGACCATAGAACTGACGAAACGATGGCTTTTAAAGTGTCTGCTGATATTCTTGATCCATTTGATTTTTCCTCAATTACCCCGTTTTAAAAATTGTTTATATGTATTATTGAGAGCATTTGATCAATTTAGGATTGTAAAACATTTTTTTTTTTGAATTAGTTTTAAACTCTCTCTGCATTTTTTAGCCGGGCTTTGCTGAAAGCAAAGTCCTGGCTCTAGGCATCATGATTG